TCCCCGGCCCCCGAGTTCCTCCCCGTGTCCCTATGCCGGCCCCGGGACGGATTGAAGCCGGGGTGGGTGATGTCCGGGCGCCACACGCCAGCTCCAGCACTGCCGGCACCATGAAGCCACCCGGGGACGGGCGGTGCTCACGGCTGACCTCAGCTTCACCTTAAAAACACCTGGAGCAGGTGTCTCCCGGGCCAGCTGACTGCATGGCTAATCATCTCCTCCCTTCCTGGGAGCCCGCAGCCACCTCCCAGGGCACTGTCGAGGCAATCGGAGCACTCTGGAGCATGTGTTTGCTGCTTTGCCGAGCTGTCTCCTGCCCTGGAGTGACACGGGGCAGCCCTGGTGGCGCAGGGGTCATTTGCCCAGGGAAGCTGAAATTTGGAATGTTACTCTTGGGGCTGTAAGGTGTGAGAAATCTCTCTTCTCCGACTCTGACTGAGCTGTTCCTGGAGGTGACAGGGCAGAGCCACTTGTGCCTCATGGTTGTGATCCCGCTGTCCCTCCGGAGGGGCAGAGCTCCGGGATCAGGCTTTCCTGGGAGGTTCTGGGGGAAGCTGACTGCAACACCACCACTAAAGCCTTGGGAATTTGCCCCGGAGAGCCTGGCTTTGCCTCCAGTGTCCTGGCAGTCCCCCGTCCACAGCTGCCCAACCGCCTCCGGGCACTTTTAACCGGTGTGGGGCTTTGCGGGTTTGATGTGCCTCTTATCGGCTTTATCTGCCATGGAGAAGGGTTTAGCGCAGTGATACCCCGAGGGGAGTTAACCCTGCCTCTCCCGGGCAGCTGCTGTTCTGGGCCCCGGGGCACCTGGCCAGGCCCACTGGCCACCATGGCTGGGGTCTGCCAAGCCTGCCAGGGCCACATCCTCCAGCTCGGCGAGCCACTCCCAAATCCAAACCCTTGTTTTCTGTTCTAATAACACATCCTGGATATCACCATAATCCCGGCTTCCCAGAGCCAAAATCTGGCCTTAGTCACAGCTTCAGGCTATTTTTGCTTCTCCGAGCTAATCCTGGGCTGAGCTGTGCTGTGGTGGCCCCACGGCACCCCCATCGGCCGGGGCTGCATCCCTTCCCTCCCGCAGCCTCTCGCTGCGTTTGCCTTGCCCTGGCACCGCTCTGCCCGTGGTGTGCGGGTCCTGGCATCACCATGGGCTCCTTTCTTCTGTGAGAGGGAGCAGAGCACATCTTCCTGATCCTGGCTGTGTGGTGCCGGGGTCCTGTGCTGGGCACCCACCACTTTAGGCCATTTTGGGGCTGGGAATAACCTGGTCTGCCCACAATGGTTCCCACCACAGTCCATGCCAGCTGCACACCTGCTTCCTTGGCACCCTGCTAACGTGAGCCCACCTGTCCCACTGGTGCTGTGGGGCAGGGCCTGTGGCTGGGGGGCAGAACAGCTATTCTGTGGTTGGGCAGGGCACGGGGCTGGCAAGGACTTTCCTGTGGCTGGTGCCACCTCCCGCTGCCAGGTCTGGGTGATGCTGGGGAGGCTCTGTGTTGCTGAGAGGCCGAGGATGCTGTGGTTCCTCTCTGGCTCATGGCAGCTGGGCACTGGCCCTTGACTTCCCGTGGGCTCGTGGCTTTTCTCCCACCCTCTCAGCTGGTGTCCTAGCACCCCACACCTCTGGGGGTGTCAGCACCACAGCTGGGCACCTCTGGGCTGGATATGCCCAGCCGGGAGCTGCTGCTCCCGCTAAGCTCCCTGAGCCCCGGCGGAGCTGGAGTGGCAGATGGCGAGGGGGAGGCGTGAGCTGCCTCGCGTGGGTGATGGGGGCCAGGAGATGGATCCGGGCTCCTTCCCCTTCCAGAACATGGGGCTGGGGTCCTGCCTGGGCTGGGACCTTGGGGGCAGCAGGAGAGGGGATGAGCAAGCTCTGGGAGCAGCTAGGGGCAGCCAGCAGCCACGTGGAGATCTAGCTCCACTTCCCAGAGGACACATGGGGGGCCGGGAGGGCTGGGCTGCTGATCATGCCCTCTGAGGTTGCCCCAAGGCCTCGGGGGCAGCTGTGTCTCCTTTCAGACAGCAACTTCATCCTGGCGAATGCACAGGGCCGCTGTGGCTTCCCCATCGTCTACTGCTCCGATGGCTTCTGCGACCTCACCGGCTTTGCCCGCACCGAGGTCATGCAGAAGAACTGCAGCTGCCGCTTCCTCTGCGGGGCTGAGACCAGCGAGCCCATCCTGCAGAGCATCGAGAAGGCGCTGGACAGCAGGCAGGAGTACCAGACTGAGGTCTGCTTCTACAAGAAGGGTGGTGAGTGGCACATGGGGCTGGGTCCCTGGCCACAGCTCCAGCTGGGATTTGGCCCCATCGCGGTCTCATGGCCCTGGGGGGATGCTGCTGAGTCAGGGAGCTGCCCTGCCTTCACCAACTCTCTCCTTCACCCAGGAGCTGCCTTCTGGTGCCTGCTGGACATCATGCCCATCAAGAACGAAAAGGGGGAGGTGGTGCTCTTCCTCTTCTCCTTCAAGGACATCACAGAGAGCCGAGGCAGGAGCTACCCTGGGGACAAGAAGGAGGGTGAGCCATGGCTGTAGAATGGGGATGGGATTCAGGGAGCAGTGTGTGCAGTGGGCACGTGACAAAGTGGTTCCCTGGTGGGGAACATGTACATCCATGTCCCAGCACTCTCATTAACTCAGCATGCCTTGTCCACTGCAGAGAAGCAAAGGAGTGAGAAACAGAGGAGCAAGAAGCCTGGGAACTCACACCTAAGGGCTGCACGGAGGCAGGGCAGGACTATGCTGCACCAGCTCAGCAGCCAGTTTGTCCGGAGAGACCGTGGCGAGATGAAAATCAACCGTGTAAGGACCTGGGAAACCCTCAGTTTTGCCCAGTGCCTCCCATTCCGGGGCTGTGGTGAACTGGCAGTGCAGCAGCTCTCCTGACAATAGCCCCCAGCCTCACCCAGCCTCGCTGGGATGCTGTTCCCATGCACATCCCTCCCTGGCCTGCCAAGTACTGAACTGCCCCCCAGCTCTGGCAGCCACACCGTAGCCACGCTGCACTTGTGTTTGGTTGGCAGCAGGAGAACCCAGAGGGTGCCCAGATCTTGCTGTTGAGACAGCAGACCTGGCAGCTGTGGCAGAGCTGTGCCTCTCCTCACACACACGCTGTCAGGAAAGCCCTGGCTCTGAGCACAGCCATCCTGGCTCTGGGGAGTGCTGTTACCAGGGTGCCAGAGCTCTGGGGCTGCCAGCTGGGGCAGGGACCAGAGTCAGTCCTGTGCCAGGCTGCTGTGCCCAGTACAGGGCACCACCTGCAGCTGTGGGCCAGAGAGAGGGTCGGAGAGCTGCTGGGTCCCAGAGCTGATGAGTGTCATAAAGTCACCCCAGGACATTAGGCAAACGATATCAGTGCACCAGGCTTGAATTTTGGGGATTTGTGTGGGATGGCCCTGGCTCTGCCCTCATCTCTCCTCTGCCCCAGCATGTGAATTGGCACCTGAGACGGTTCCAGGCAGCAGTTGGCACTGCCAGGGGATTACTGTTAATAGCAATGACACTGTGTTAATTGATGTGCTGTAATTGGCCATTCTGTGCCCATCTCTGAGGGTGACCACAGTGCAGGAGAAGGGTGTCATCACCCTGGCATCAGGGGCTGCCAGCTGGTTGGCAGGACTCAGGAGATGGGGTGGCTGTGGTGGCCTTCACCCCTGGTGTGGGATGGCCCCTGCACCATCCCCGTAGCACCCCATGTTTGCTCCTGCAGAACGTGTTTGAGAACAAGCCGTCCATCCCCGAGTACAAGGTGGCCTCGGTACAGAAGTCCCGCTTCATCCTGCTCCACTACAGCATCTTCAAGGCACTCTGGGACTGGTTGATCCTGCTGGCCACCTTCTACGTGGCTATCACTGTCCCCTACAACGTCTGCTTCACGGGCACAGAGGACAGTCTCTCAGCTGCCCGCAGCACCATTGTCAGCGACATCGCCGTAGAGATGCTCTTCATCCTCGGTAAGTCTGCATCCTGATCCAGGGTAGAGGTGGGGCAGGGATGAGAGGTGATGGAGAGGGGAGTTGGGATTCCTGTGCCCCTGCTGTTGCTCCTGGGCACACCAGAAGTGAGCTCAGTGTTGGCTGTGGGCCTGGCTCAGCTCTGGCAGCCACAGAAAGGGTGGTGAGGGCTGGTCCTGCTCTCCTGGGGTAGATATCATCCTGAACTTCCGGACAACATACGTGAGCCAGTCGGGCCAGGTTGTGTACGACCCTCGCTCCATCTGCATCCATTACGTGGCCACCTGGTTCTTTGTGGATCTGATCGCTGCTCTGCCCTTCGATCTGCTCTACATCTTCAATGTGACCGTGGTGCGTGCTGCTGGCACAAACACACCTTCTACAGCAAAGCTGCTGCCCACCTCCCTGCCCCTCTCCAACACCCACATCTCCTGGGGATATTTGGTGCCCTGACAAGCCACGACCCTGGCTGACTGCTGGGTGTTAGGCACAGGGGTGCAAGGCTGACTGGGGATAAGCTGCCTCTGCCTTGCCCTATAACCCATGACCCTCCTGGCAGCTGTGGGGGTGGCAAAGGGTTCCTGCCCCGGGGGCGGTGCTGGGGTCCCTTTTTGTCCCTGCCTGCAGCTACACCGGGTTCACCTTCCTGCCTGCCCCCCAGACCTCGCTGGTTCACCTGTTGAAGACGGTGCGGCTGCTGCGGCTGCTGCGGCTGCTGCAGAAGCTGGACCGGTACTCGCAGTACAGCGCCATGGTGCTCACGCTGCTCATGTCCATGTTTGCGCTGCTGGCGCACTGGATGGCCTGCATCTGGTATGTCATCGGCCGCAAGGAGCTGGAGAGCAACGACCCCCGCACCTGGGACATCGGTGAGCGTGGGGTGGAGGCGTGCTCGGAGTGCTGGGATCCCCCCTGTGCCGTGGGGCAGCAGTGCCAGGGGTGCAGCCCTCACAGCTGGATCCTGCTAACCCCGGGCTGTGCTTGGCAGGCTGGCTGCACGAGCTGGGCAAGAGGCTGGAGGCTCCCTACATCAACAATTCGGTGGGGGGCCCCTCCATCCGCAGCGCCTACATCGCCTCCCTCTACTTCACCCTCAGCAGCCTGACCAGCGTGGGCTTCGGCAACGTCTGCGCCAACACCGACACCGAGAAGATCTTCTCCATCTGCACCATGCTCATTGGGGGTGAGGCGAGCAGTGGGGCCGGGCAGGGCCCTCACCTCGGGCTGCCAGGGCACCGATGGGCAATCCAGGGGGAGATGATGGGCACATGTGCCCTGTGAGACATCCCTGGGCTGGGGTTTGGGGAGGTGCCCCCGAGCTGTGCCCCACGCTGGGCCTGACGCTGCCCTCCTGCCCCCAGCGCTGATGCACGCCGTTGTCTTTGGCAATGTCACGGCCATCATCCAGCGCATGTACTCACGCCGCTCGCTCTACCACACGCGCATGAAGGACCTCAAGGACTTCATCCGCGTCCATCACCTGCCCCAGCAGCTCAAGCAGAGGATGCTGGAGTACTTCCAGACCACCTGGTCGGTGAACAACGGCATTGATGCTAACGAGGTAGGAGGTGTTGGTGGGGCTTGGCCAGCCCCCTCCAGCCACAACCTGCGCCCAGCAGGGAGCAATGGGGCTGGCAGGGCCAGCTCAGTGGTGCTGGAGGAACCAGGTCTGGGGCCAATTCCTGCCAGCACGGGGAGCGGGACAGGCATAGGGAGCAGAAGCAGCTGATTACCAGAGCTCGCCTCTGCCAGTCGGGACTGCTGAGCACTGCCGAGACACCAGGGCAGCTCAGCAGCGAGATTCCCTGCTCCGGAGGGGGATCTGTCCCCTGGGGCTGCAGAAAAGCTGCTCCCTGCTCCCCGTGCCTCGTGCCCAGAGCCCCGGCTCCTCTCTCCCCAGCTCCTACACGACTTCCCCGACGAGCTGCGTGCGGATGTGGCCATGCACCTCAACAAGGACATCCTGCAGCTGCCCATCTTTGAGACCGCCAGCCGGGGCTGCCTCCGCTCCCTCTCGCTCCACATCAAGACCTCATTCTGTGCCCCGGGGGAGTATCTGCTGCGCCAGGGCGACGCGTTGCAGGCCAACTACTTTGTCTGCTCCGGCTCCCTCGAGGTGCTGAAGGACAACGTGGTCCTGGCCATCCTGGGTGAGGGCAGGTGGCGTGGGCTCTGCCCCAGCCCTTCCTGCTGGCCGGCAGAGTGAGGGGCTCAGGGCTCGTGTCACTAGCCCACCCCTGGTCCCCTCCTGCAGGCAAAGGGGATTTGATTGGAGCCGACCTGTGCAGCACGGACCAGGTGATCAAGACCAATGCGGACGTGAAGGCGCTGACCTACTGTGACCTTCAGCACATCGGGCTGCGGGGGCTCTGTGAAGTGCTACAGCTCTATCCTGAGTACGCCAGCAAGTTCACAGCTGACATCCACCAGGACCTGACCTTCAACCTGCGGGAGGGCAGCGAGATGGAGGTGGGTGCGTGTCCTCCTTCTCAGGCTCCTTCCTGTCCTCATGGCCTGGGGCTGAGCGTGGCCATGGAAGGGGAGTCTGAGTGCTCCCTGCTCGCAGTCCCCAGGCTCCAAGGCTGGGGTGGGGGCTGCAGCTCTGCCACCCCGGCATGCAGGTATGTCCTGTCCTGCTTCTGCCAACCCGGGGAACTGGCAGAAAGAGCATTTGCGATGCAGGAAGTTGAGGTCCCCCCTGGAGTGCAGCACACAGCTGGGGGCTGTGGGTTTAGTCATGCTGATGGCTCCAGCATCCGGGGGGATGTTCTGCTGCAGAAATGGCTCTGCTGCACTTTTCCTCCTCTGGCTCTGCTGAGAGAGGTTTGGATCTCCTCTGGAGCATCTCCATGGTACCCAATTCCCCCCTGAGCCTGGTGGATGTGGTGTGGGAGGTCAGTCTCTAGGCCCCAAACAGCCCTACCAAGACCCACCGTGTCCATAACACAGGAGGGATATAAACAAACCAAGAGTGGAGAATGCCAGGAGTGTGCAGCAGGTTCTGTGCCTGCATCACCCTCCCCAGCTGGCTGCATGCTCCAGACAGAGCTGGTGCTCTGATGGCTGAGTCAGGGCTGGGATTTGGGGTGCAGCCTTGCCTCTGTCTCAGGACACCCAGGCCGAGGTTGGGCAGCTCACCATTGACATGGCAGCAGCAGAGGAAGGAGAGTGAGTGAGGGGGTGTGGATGCTGGTGCTGAGGCTGATGTGTGGGGATGGGGTAGGCTTGGTTTTCCAGGGGGGCACTGAGAGGCTGGGGGGGCTGTGGTCTCTGTGGAGCTGTGCAGGGGCTCCCTCCCGCTGCTGAGCCGGTACCGTCTGCTCTCCCCGCAGGGGCTCTGCCGCTACTCCCGGTCCCCGAGGCTGCCGCAGGCGCCACAGGTTCGTCCCTTGCCGAGGCGATGGGGGAGGACGGGGGATGGCTGG